AAATCCGCCCTGCCACAAACCCACACCGCAATCGACTACACATGCACAAACACAGCCTACCTGACTTTATACCACCGCGCAGCAGCACGCACGCCCACTCAAAGCTCCTGTATCACCGGGTCTGGTTCTGCAGCGTTTGGACCCAAAACTCAAAACAGCCGCTGTTCTCGTCTGGGCCTGCTCCCACTCCGACGCCCTGCCCAGCTCTGCCGTCTCCTCGTCGCTTGCGTAAAATCGTCATTGAGTCTTGGATTGCATTGCCTTCTCTCCCTCTCCCGCCCTCCACTGCTTTTGCCTCACTTTCAGACGCACACACTTCCCACCACCACCCCGGGATTGATTTGCCTAGCTCTAACACGTTCTGGTTGCGACCATCTAGCTTGTTGGGACTGGCACTGCCATTGCTGCAGCTGCCAGTGGCCTGGTGTTTGGCCAACCCACTGACCTCGACCTCAACCTCAACCACCAGGCTGCCACAGCTTCCAGCCGAGGAGCTCGAGTTCACAAGAGATCGATATCAATCGACCGAGTATTGCCTGCCAAGTCGTACTCGCCGTCGAGGACCTTGACTCCGCCCTCGCGTCGACCAGCTACCAGCTCTGCTGCACCGCGCTCAATTGGCTCTGAGCTTCATGCTGCTGGTACTTCAATTCACCAAACGACGAGACCTCCATTGTCGCGCCGTCAGCGGCCGCAGACCTCCCAAGTTGCTCCATCAAGTACTTCCAGCAGAAGACAGTCTCTTGTTGTGCTCAGCCAGGGAGATATCTACACTGGTATCCCCGTCGTGGAAGGCTCGAGGGAGTCCATTTCGTCGTCCGGCTCTTGGTTGAAGCGCCTGTCTTCCATCCGTCCATTGTCACAGCACGGCAGCCCCAGGTCTAGCATACTTGCGGATTCACCATCAGTTTCAATTTCATATGGGTCTGCTGCTCCCATACTTTCCCGATCTGGATCTGTTTCGAAGCCAATGCCCCCGAATAAACTGGTAAAGCGTTCGCCCTCAAGAAACTACACGTCGGAGGAGTTGGCGCAACGCAAGTCAAAAGGCCATTTACCTACTCTTCGCCGACCAGCCACCAGCCACCAAAGATCTGCAACTCTGCAACAATTCCGGGCAGGGCTTGATGTTGCAGGCTCGAGTGCCGATGCAAAGTATTCCCTTGATGAGCCAATTTGTCCGGAGGAACTGCTTGGAGCATCGCCAATTGAAGAATTGGGCCAGTCTCCTCGCACCGCCAGGGCTGCAAAAACTTCTGGCTGGGTATCTTTTTTCCACTCCAAAACCGCCAGTCTTATGACAAAGCCAAGCTCTCACACCCGGCTTGGTGGTAGTGGTGACGGCGGTGACGCAGCATCGTCCGCAAAGAATTTGCAGTCCAAACGCATAAATCCGGCAAGAAGCATGCTGCCTGGCACCGGAGCTCATCTGATTAAGCCCAGAATGGTGTCGGGCTCATCTACGCAGAGCGACTCGTTTGCGTCGTCGCATATAGAGGAGGAACCCAACTACCAACTTGTCAGCCGCAATGGGGATCGTGTAGGCTCCCCGACTACTGGCGAAATGGTCTCCGGAATGCCACCGTCATCACGCCCAAGGAGATCTTTTTCTTCTACATTTTCTCAGACCGCAAACTGGGCCTCGAAAACATCTGGAAGCTTGCGCCGAACTAAACGGGGCGCGACCCAGGGCAGCGGAGAGAACAAGCGGCACGTGTCAGCTCCAGTCAGAGCCCTGCCATCAGCTGTGGGCCGCGTCGATACAATGACCAGCACCCCGATCGCCCCGGTTCAGCAGGGATTGACACTGGATTCAGCTGCGACTTTTCAACGCCCGGCGCCTAAAAGAAACGCATCCTCCCCACTGCCCCCGCTCTCCAATCTTCCAGGTCTTCATGCAGAGTTGTCGCGACGGAGTCCTGTTGGCGGCGTCGCCGGTCATTCAATTCGGCTAAATCAGCCGTCAGGAAGTTCAACAAGTTCTACCAGCGTTGCCATGACGCAGCGGAGAGGCTCTCACTATGAAAGACTATCTGCCCTGGACAGCTCAGACGGCGACGCGCGCGACTTGATATCTGGTGATGAGTACGACACTGACTTCAAAAGCGACACCCTTTTTGACTCGTTGCGGACTATGGGTTCTGGCCGGGTCAGAGCTGTGGAGACGCCCCTTGAGTCTGTGTATGATGAGTCCCCCCCCAGCACAGGCGGGAATAAGAGATCAAAACGTCTTTCAATCCAGGAGATCCTTGACCGGACTTGGGATGAAGACGGTAAGATTATGGAAGAAGACGAATCAAATTCGACTCCAGTCCACGCGCCACACCGATCCATGGGCAGTCATGTTAGACGTGAACTGCGAGAAGACCCTCGCTTTGGCCTGGACCCATTGACGAGCAACGAGGTGGCCCGGGAGACGCGCAACTTCGGCAGGTTTTCGCTTGATGATGACTTTGACGAGGACTGGACCAGAGATGACGATGACGCACCAGTCAATGCTCTGTCACCTCCTTCAAAGGGCAGTTCTCTCAGCTCTAGTGGCATTAATCCCAACGTTCGCCTAGCCTTGGCTAGTATTGGCGGCAACTTGAATGCTCCCTCAAAACCACGATCGTCAAGTAGCGAACGTCCTCTCAGCAACCTGTTCGACTGGAGCGAGCCAACCCCCCATGACAAGCAGAATCCGGCGTGTCATTCTCGGCCCAAGACAGCTTACGCTAAACAGGAAATTGACTCTAGAGGAGGTCGACCTGTCGTTCGCAAAGGGCCGATGCCGGCACACGTCCGGAGCCAAAGTGTACCTGTAGTGCACGATCTTGCTGATGAATCAAAACCCGCAGGATCAAAGTATGGGACATGGGGGCTTGGTTCAAAAACCGTTAGCGAAGATTGGGACGAGGACTTTGAGTTTGGTGGCCTCAATGATGGACCAGGCGGGAAAGACCACGAGGATCTTTTTGCGGTCCCTGAATCAATCCGTGCCTCTCAACCCAGCGTCAAGGCTCATTCTGGTCAAATTCGAGAATTATCTCTCCTCGTCAACGACCTTAAGCGACTCTGTCGCCATGGCCGGGAGCTAAATATGCTGAATGGCGAGCAGAAGCCATTCTGGAAGGAAGCTGAAGGCATCATTGCCCTGGCTTCTCCAGACGAGGGATCTGCGAACGAGGACGGTCAGTCAGAGGCCTCGATCTATATGGACGCCTTTGAAGCTGCAAACCCTCCAGGGGATGAGGATGACATTGACGATAACCTCTCTTTTGACAGGTTGGACGCAGTTATTGAACGTAATGAACCGGTCATGTCCAAGACGGCTGTCGTTCGTGAACGGCAATCCCCGCGACGACGATCTGTCTTCTCTCCAGATGATGATATTTTTGGAGCAAACTGGCCCCTGTCAGATGATCGTCCACGATCTAATCGCCCCAGTCGACCCCGAACACCCGAAAACCCACCAGCCAAACTTCAAGACGTGGATGGTGTGGTGAGATCTGTCATAGAGTCTGTTCAATATCGGTCGATTTTGGCAACTGCTCAGCCGGCCGCACAAGGATCTCGGAAGCGTGATGCTGGCCCTAATAGGATGCATTTCGATACTAACAGCTTGAAACTATTGGTCAGGAGAGCCGGAGAATTGCGCGATATCCTGTCCGATCTCATCAGGAGGGCCGATCAGTTGACACAAAGTCCAGCTCGAACTCCACGACACGAGAGACGCTTGGATTCGAGCCCTGCGTTTACCAGAGTTTTTGATGATCCAGGATCCAGCCCGGCCCGACGACCCGTGAAGAGTCGTGGTAATAGTACTACCATTGTTGAGCGGCCTTCATCTGAAAACTCGCCACCATCAAGCATTGGACGCCGAGTCCCCTTGATGACGGTGAATTAGCAACAATCACAGAATCTAAGCACCTCCAACTATACTCCTTTTATCACCACCACTATACACCTCCGTTATTCATAGCCGAGGTTTTGTACAAAACACGCGGAAAATACTTGTTTGTGAATTATCTTGTTTGCATAGCGACGGTTCTTGTCCTGAGGTTTTTCTTTTCTTTTTTTACTCACTATAAACGACATTGGGTGACTCGGACATCAAGAGGGCGAACAGTATAATATGGCTCAAACGAGTCGGATCAGCCTCGTCATCTGTCATCGCTTGAGATGCCTGTCATCGGGCTGCCATTGTCATGGCTGAACCGGTTCTGAGTGGGAGGTGTCGTGGCATTTTCTATTTTGTATGCTCTTTTTTATATAATGTAACCCACGCGCCTACCTGTCGTATAATGAACACGAGAGCCGGAAACAACTTCCCGAGGATGGGTATGAGAGGAAGCGACTGAAGCTGGAAGTCAGAGAAACGGAGACGATGCTTCCATCTGATATGGTCATTGCTCGAGATGCAAACGTCACTGCTAATGATTATGCAGAAAACGACTGAGGACTGAGGACTGGGGGACGATACAAAAAATACACATGCCATGGCCCGCAAATAGAGAGCAATACGCAAGGTACATTGGGAAGGAAATTGGACGAAGCAATGGAGCCAATTTGGGATACAGGAAAGGCGATAAGGCATTACTCCCGAGCTGTTGAAGAAGAAGCATGTCATGTTTTATAGCATCGGCGTATTGTTGACGCTTTGTCATTTTTTTAGTCTACAGTTGATGAATTGCATGGATAGAGCCTAGGGGCTATGATACATATGATTAGTTGTTTTCATTGATGAATGTCGTGGGAAACCCATTTCTACCGAGTATACGTGATTCATAGTGTGCCGCCAGGTCGCACTAGTATGAAACATGTCCGGTGTAGAAATACTAACAGTCGACTGCGTATTGACAAACCGGACACTTGGATGTATAATTCTGATTTCATTCAATTGCATATATCCTAACGCCTAAGTCATACACCTGGGTATCTCAACCACGCCCTGATGGCTCCCAATTCTTTCAATTGCTCCCCTAATTAACTAAACAATGCTTCTCATTCGTACTGGCCTATCGCTGAATCAAGTCTGGGTTCTTGTTTACCAGGGTATGGATGTAACCCTCGGCAGCGGGGTGGTAGTCCCCGTTTGATGTGTCAAGGATGTAAACGTTGAAGACGGGGTGGTGTCTTGCGGGATCGAAGCCGCCTATTTGGGTTTCCCGGCGGTGGCTGAGAGGGTTTGGTTGTTTCTCTGGCGCCGATATTTCTTCTCCTGCATCTACCTGAGCGACGGCAGGTTGGGTCTCCTCGTTTGTGGACTGCAGTGCTTCTTGTTCTGGCTGCGAAGCAGATGCCGTTGGTGGTTGAGCAGCTTTTTCGGGGGGATCGTGAAGAGCTGCGGCCCAGCTAGGTACCGATCTTGCAATCTCGTTCCGGGGCCGGGTAGCAGGACCTGTTGTTCCCTTGGGAGTAGCCATCCAGTCTGCGTCTGTGACGAGATGCGGCTTCAGTTGCACGGAGGCTTGGCCGGTAAGGAAGCTGGCCACAGTGGATTCGCCAGTCACGTTGGAATACACCGAGGATATATCCGAAACGGGCGATTCGCTGCCCGACTCATAAGACAGTTGGCCGGGCGGAGTGCTGGGTCGGACGGAAGAGAGCGTGACCCAGTCCTGAGCAAATGTTTGCGGAGTAGCCGGTGCCCAGAGAGCGTGCGACTCAAGCTTTTGGAGAGGCTGACGACTTGATCGCGGCGTGGGACGAGTTTCTAGCGCTGCGGGGGACTTTGAACTTCTGCGATATCCCTTGTCGTGCTGGTAGCTGCCTTGTTGAATTTTGAACAGGCCTTGGTGCTCCTCCTCATCCAGGGGAAGTGTGGAAATGGGGACCCATAGATCGTTACCCCGAGGGTTGGATATTACGATATCGTCATGTGGCCCAATGATAATACCTGTATCGTAGGTGGGCTGCTCTTCAATGGAAATGGCACCCTCTTCCGACTCTTGGCTTTTGATTCGCGTTTCGATTGATAATGTCATGTCAGTGGCTAGTGAAGTGCCCCCTTCATTAGTACCATCAGAAGGCGATGCCGGCGTGATTCCTTCCAACCAGAGCTTTTTGTTTGTCTGCTCTTCTTGAGGGGTTCCCTGTTTCCACAGATATTGGCTCTCGATGTTCAAATGACCGCCTTTTCGGGGCCTTGGGCGCAAAATCACTTCCCCAAGGTCGTTATAGTGATCCCAATGCTCTGACTTTGGCTGTGGCAGACCAAAAACATCTTCGTCCAGGGTAGGTTCTGGTATCGACCATAGAAACTCTGGCTCAGGGGTATTTGGGCGGGATATCTCCGTGATTTCAACGGTGGCCTCTACCGTGGACTGTGACTTGGACTCGCCGGACCACAAATACGCAATAGGAGGTGAGCCAGTATTGATTGCTGGTTGACTCCAGAGTGAGGTGCTGGTGATATCCGACGCCTTGGTCTGCCTGAGAGGAGCGCGCGCGGTGGATTTATATATTTCAACATAGGTATCCCATAGCTTACCGTCTTGGAAAAGCCCCTGGTTTACTGTGCTAGGAGGCATATGGACGTTGTTGACCCAGAGACTCACTTCTGGCGGTGGGAGAGTTGGTGACGAAGATTCCCGGCGCAACAGTGGCACGGGAGATGGCTCGCTCTCAGTGTGCTCTGGTTCCTCTTCCTCTGCAAGTTGCCGTGCCGCCGGCACTGAAGATGGTCTGACAGGGACTGTAGTTTCCAGCGTTTTTAACGATCCAGGAAGAGTATTGCTATTGTTGGGAAACAAGCTCTCCCTGGAAGGAACTCTATCAGATTTGAGCAAGCTGGCAATCTCCCAAAGGGTTCTTTCCTCAAAGGAATCGTCCTCATACTCGTCATCGTCGTAAAAACTATCATTATCCGAATCCTCGGAAATGTTTTCGACGGCCTCTTCCTCGTCGTCGTAGTGCTCAAAATACGAGGATGGCTGTTGCTGGGATCTCAGAATCTGCATCTGAAGTTCCAGAGTTGGGTAAATCGGAGGAACTCCTGCATCCATATTGCCTGGCAGCACGAACATTTGGTTCTGAAATGGTGTATACAATGTAGCTGCATCGGATGTTTCTCCCCAGGGGAATCGAAAGATACCCAAGGCGTCGCGATTGTTCTCCAAAGGCTCTGGATTCTCCAAAATGTCGGGAAGTGAAGAGATACGCTTGCTCTTCCGTGGAGGCCTCAGTGTGCGCGGGCGAGTGGCGGGTTCTTGCGATGGTGGTGGTGATTTGGGTGATTGAGGTGCTGCGCGCCACAGGCTGGGGGATTTGGCTTGTGGTATGAAGCTTTCTGGTGGATTGTCCCAGAGTCCAGATTCCTCCACGGGAGAGAATTCTCTAGGCTTTCGAGTTTCTGGCCTAGGGCCAGGAGATAGCGACCTAGTTGACTGAATTGCAGAGTCAGAGGCGGAGTTCCACAGGGCAATCTGTGATTTCGTGATTTCGGGGGTTTGATTAATGTTGTCTGACTTCCACAGAACGCCTTTGGCAGGTGCGACCTCCTCTTTCTGGTTTGGCCGTTGCTCACGATTGCTATTTCCGAGCCTTGAATATGTTTCGTTATTCGAGGGAGACGACGGCGCAACTGGCGACGTGTTCCCGGTAGTGATTGAGACCCCTTCTCGGGCAACCCGCTCCGAAATCTCGGACGTATTGTTTGCGGTGGTAACCTGAAACCTATCAGGAACTCTCCTAGGACGACTCATCTGCACTTGATCGGCTGTGTAAAGGACAGATGATCGCGGACGCCCCGTGTCCTTCTCCCATCCCGATAGATAGGGACTGTTATTCTTTGGAGAACTCTCGGCCACATTCATCGCCGGTGACTGCATGTTTTGTGATGCTAAAGGGCTTGCTACATGGGGAAGCGGAGAACCTGGATGTGAGCCAACTGTTAAGACCGACGCTCTAGTTAGATCGTCGCGCATCTTCTGCCATCGGTTTTCTTCCATTCCCATCTCCATCTCTATGTCTTTGAGGAGAGACATTCTCCTTTTTTCAAGTTCAGCAGCATCCATATTAGAGTCTTCGAATTTCTTCAGCTGCTCTTGAATTTCATCGATGGCCTGCTTGGCAGTGTCGAGAGGTGGGGGCTGAGGAGGCGATCCTTTGATACGTTTGAAAATCTTGTGAAGTTCAAGCGGAGGTGGTTTAGGGAAACGGCGGGATTGCATAGATTCTCGGTTAGAGAACGTAGGCGGGTTTTCTCCAACACGGCAGTGCCATGAGCCTTTCTTGCCTTCGGTACCGCCATACATACTATTTTGTGGCGATGGCGTAGATGTCGCATTGGCTGGATAGTAGGTATTTCGGTCAAGCATGAAGGTAACCATTTCTCTACCGTCGTCCTCATCATTTGGTAGCGCACTATCAGCATAGCTAACTCTAGTAGGCATTCCAGGAGCAACAAGATCAGCACCCAGAGACTTGGACACATAGCCAGCTTCGAGATCTTGTTCTCTGATATACTGTTTCGCATACGACGGTGTACTTGACTGGACTCCTGGTTGGTCTATCACGATTGAAGTAGGAGTGACTGATTCCCGAGCATCATTTACCGGGAGGATAGGAGATGACCTTCGTCTCAATCCTTCCTGTGACGATCGAAGAAGCTTGAAAGCTGGCGATTGAAGATATGCAGACGGCGGGTCTTCCGGGCTCATAGTTGTGGCTATGCTGAACTTGGACAAGTACCTGGTCGCGTCCTCCTTGCGTTTCCCGGATGGGGATGGCTCGTCATATTCTTGAGGCGTCACCTTGGCAACGGTATCCCTATCGTTGACGTTTTTCTCTGGCCTAGCTCGGTCATGAGAGGCCTGGGTTTGTAATATAGTCGGTGGTGGGGTGATGCCTGTTTGAGCCACTGGAGTTATATATGCCTTCACCTCTGGGTTATATGTCTTGGATAGAGATACGGACGTCTTGGTCCTCGCTGGTTCCAGAGGTTTGCTCTTCGGAGGTGGAGGCGGCGGAGGGGGCGGCTGGCTAGGACTCTCTCCGGCCGTAGCTGTTAAAATTGAGGCTTTCAATCTTGCCTCCCCTTCCTTTTTCGGAGGTAGAAGATCACTTGTTGATCCTACCGTCGGTGATTCTTTTGCCGAACCTGATGGCGTGATGGGTGACTTTCGAGGGATTGGTCGTGGTCGATGGACCACTGAAACTTTGTCATCAGAATTGCCCCGATCTGCCTTTGCAGCCAAGTCTGTTGCTATTTCATCAATGATGTCACGAACCCTACTAGGATCATTGTAGTCGATACTGTTGACGAACATGACCGTTGGGTCCTGGCTCTTACTGGCAGAAGCTTCTGCAGCCCGAGCTCTGGGATGGCTGGGAAGCCCCGTGGTTTCTCGAAGCTGGACCGGAGTTTTTGACGATTTCACTTCATCAATTGGTGGAGGCGTTTTAGGCCTCTTCCTCGATGGGCGAATGTTATTTTTAACTGATCCGCTGCGAGGAATGCTTGATGATGGCCCACTTCTTCGGTGTTGCTTGCTTGACTTCCTTTCCAATTGGTAGTATGAGCTGGAGTCAACGTCCCTCGGCGAAAGAGGAGGCACTGGAGGCACAAGAACGTCAATAGTCCTACCAGGGGAGACGATGGATTTTCTTCGAGAGACGCTCTCGCTTCTTGAGGGAGGAGTTTGCGAAGTTTGCTGCTGCGAAGAGGGGGCAGCAGCAGAGTTCTTCAACTCTTCAACATGATCTTCAGTCCGATCTAGCGTTTCGGCGAGCGGTTTATCTGGGCCTTTCAAAGTAGTTGCACTGGTGGTGTTCTTAGGGAAAGGTCGTAGAGGCGATCGGGGCGGCGGCTTCAAAGGTACCCCTGAACTTGAATTCCGTGAAGTGGGACTTTTACTTCCTGACCCGGAAGCATTCTTAGCTGGAATAACTGATGGAAATGTGCCTTGAAAGCATTGTGAAATATGTTTCGGTGACCTCTGCCGAACATCACCACTGGGAGTGGCAGGGGCCGACAACACGGCCGAAGATGCTGCCTGTGACGCTGACGCTCGCTCCTCGATAGGCTCCAAAGTCGATGCCCTAGTTTTTCCCGTGGCAGAATCTCGACCAATTTTCTTTCGCTGCAATTCTTTGGTAGCTTGTCTACTATACCTATTCGTGCTGAGCTGCTGAGGTGCTGCAGGGTTGACTCTCCGTTCTTTGTCTTGCCTGGCAGCGGTGGCCAAATCAACAGTTGCAATCCGTTTCAAAGGACTCGCTTCGCTAAGTTTGTCCTCTTGAACTATCGGATAAGATATGACCAGTTTTCCGCCCTTGATGACTGCTTTCTTCGTCGGTTGCATCAAAGACTCCTCTCGCTTCGTTGATAACGATCCGGCTCGTATAGGTGGGAAAAGTTCACCCTTAACTGGCATCCCTCCAACGCCAGCTGCTGCCTGACCCGGACTTGGGCGACTAATAATTGGCAGCTGATTGTTGCCATCTCCTGACGACAGCGCTCTTGCAGTCGCGCTAGTTGTAACTTCCCGTGAGTATTCCCTTGGGCGTCCGAATCTATCTGGTGGGACGGACGACTCGACTGCGGACGCCTCCTGGTTTCTTGGCTCCCTTGTTGGCGGAGGCGCTGCCTCGGATAAACCAGGAAATTTGTTGAGAAACGATGCAGTTTTTTGAGAAATTGCCTTTAGTGGCAAAACCACATCTTTGAAGTAGAAAGCAATGACGCCTGTTCCGCTTATTAGTAACAGGAGTATTCACGACTGGGCAACGAGGTACCACCAAACCTATGACGAGCAGCACTCCAACAGCGGGAAGGGCGGTACGAGTAGCGATACCGAACGAACTGATTCCTAGAATCATAGGAACACTCAGCTAGAAAGCCAACAGTTAGCTGAAAGCCCAGGTGCTGAACATGACGGCAATCCGGTTTTGCATACTGGAATCCAAAGACCCAAGGCCATCATGATCAAAGCGATGCCCCTGGATCGAGACCCAACAGGGCCTTTTACTCTCATGTCTCGAAAGACTCCTACCGAAGAAGCTCTCGTCACAAGAGTAAGGACAATGAAGGCATCCGCACACAGAACCGCAACGCCGAGTGGCCAGAGTAGATTTGTGGCCACACATACTGGGTCGAACTGTGGTCGTTGAACACCGACAAAGACGCCACCAATGATGAAGCGAAGAAAGAAGACAGCCTGGGGAAATAAGACACCACAAGTAGCTCGGGTATCGCTTTTCATAGCCCAGAATAAAAATTCTTCGAGCACGACTCGGGCGAGTTGGTCGAATGCGGCAGCAAATGCAACGGCGATTTGACATCCTGACGCAGAAGTTTGGTCGATAAAGGTAGCAACGAAGCCATCGACAGCCCATAGAGAAGCGAACAGAAGAAAACCGGCGAGGACCAGCCTCAGATCGCCTCGAAAGAGCGATAAAGCCCCGCCTCTGAGATGAAATAATACTGTCCCCAGAGAGGCACAGACGACGGCACCGCTGAGATGTGAGTTGAGTGTTAGCTTGTCAATTTCAACTCCAGAGAACCGAAGCTCAGTTCCCTAGATGAGGAATGAATCTTTTACTGACAATGCAAAGGTTGCCACCAAGGCCTGGTCTCTGGCCGAGCTGGACATGACGACGGCCTGGCCAACCGACGGCTTGTTGGACAGACCGTGAGGAGAATCGAAACGGCCCAATCAATGGGCCATGGACGTATAAGCAACCGGTTAAGGTAATTAGAAGACAATATTGATTCCCGAGAGTTCGGAGGGGGATGTGTTTCCAGTCGAGGCCTAAATTATTGCATCTTGGCCATCGTCATCGTACAGATCTCAGCTCGTGTCGCACCCATCACAGCAAGGTCTGTGTGAGGGTGGGATGGCAGAGGATGAAAGAAGAGGAGGGGACAGCAGGCATTCATTCACATGGGACAGATCTAGCAACAGCATCAACCTCTTTGGGACTGACAGTCTCAAAACATGCAAACGGAAAGCCAAAACATCTTATTTGGGCTAACACGAGTATTTGGCACACATGGGGGTGGAGGCCAGCACGTTCTTGCTAGAGTGTCGCGCATAGAAAGTATGTACATACATCTCGTCGTGCACATGTGCACAGACGAAGACAATCCTCCAAAAGCGTGTAGGAGTAGCAGATGGATGGTGGTTGGTGCCTCGCGGCTTGCCTCATGTCCTCCTACCACAGGAGCGGGAACGGAGACCAGAGGAGGAAAACTCTCAAACCAATTCGCGTTGGAATAAGGCCGAGCAAGCGCTCGGAAGGACAGATGGCCCTTGCTATTGGTACCGCGTATCACCATGATTGGAGTCGAGGACAACAAAAGGTGAGGTGAGGATCCGTGCTTTGCGACAGGTGCGTTTTGCATGAAACCTCAAACGTTAGCAAGACGGAGACTTTTGGGGGCGCAAATGGGGCGTGACCCAGCATTTGATGGCTGCGAGCCCACACCTACTGATGCGACGCATGGGAAATGCGGTTGAATCGTCTTGGCCAGTGTGGTGTAGATGCCAAAAGATGACTCGAGCGGCCTCTACATGACATTACTTGAATCGTGGTGGATGCGGTGATTATCACGACAGCATAGACCGTGGCCGAGCAGGCCGAGCTCCCGGCAGAAGTTTCTCCGTGCCGGTTTGACTCGCTCTTGCCATCGTATGATGAATGCCCCCTTCAGCAACATTTTGATCCTTCAGCCTGGCTGGTGAAACTGCGACACCAGATCTCCGGAAAACGGCCCATCACCATATCATGGGCAGCCGATGCTATTTATCACACCAATGTCTGGTTCTCTACTAAAGAATATGGCGTCCCGGCAACCTTTTGGGAACGTCATAACCTTATTCCACATGCTGCAGCCGACACGGTGAGATTCTTCACCTTGTCCACAGACAGTTTTCACCGTGCGCCAATTCGGAGAGCCGGTTCCTTCCACAATCACCATGTGCGTGACTGCTGCGGGTCACACTGACGGTGTTTCACGAGTTTCGACTTCTGCGTGGCTGGACCCTACCCTCGGCCTCACCCGACGCGTTGAAGGGCACGCTTTGGCGCCTCCCCCCGGCTGGATCCATGACACCACGACTTGGGAGAGTTTGGTCATCAATGCTGGTTGATGGTTCTGGCGGCTGGGACAGCTCCATGACTTCACAAGGCATTGATGATAGTCCGTTGGGTTGCAGCTGATGTCCACCAGGCCGAATCCCAGTTACCGAAAAGAGTAGGCGTTCATGTTTCACCCGCGCCTATGTAAATCAACCTTGAAGTCAAATGCCAGGAACCAGGTGTTTGGTGGTTGTCAATATGGCAACCAATCTCCCAACCACCAAGCTCCGGATTGTTGACAACGGAGTTGGGCCTCGCCGTGGCATCCCGCGACCGGATTGCCGCGCCCTTTCGACTTCATGATAATGGATGCAATCAAGTCCTTACGGGCGGCGCGCTGCATTAGTGAATCGGATAACCACCAGCAACAGGCAACTCCGCTCACCCCGAGAAGCTAATGCATCCATCCATGCCTCCGGCTTACGCATGATGTACATCCATGCAGTCCGAACCCTATCGATGAATACACCAACATCCATCGCAACGCAGAATGGGAACGGCCTACTGGTCAATTGCTCTCCAGGAGGCGAAATACGAGTGGCCGCTCCCCCGCATCCGCAGGACCAGGCAGTCCCAGATCTGCTTAATACTACGTACGCCTAAGCGGCATCCATCCGCAGAACGTGGCCAAGTTCCATAAACATCAATGCTTCCTAGCTGCAGCCGTCGTCCGCGGGTCTCCGTGGTTAGCCAACTGTAGTAGTGGTCAATAGTACTACTACTAGTACTGCGTACTCGAAGGTCAAGCCTGCTGGAACCCCGCTGTCGTCATCGCCTCGTCGAATCACCGCGTTGCGGTTGCAAAGCGCCCTCCGCACTACAAGCAAGCAAGCAAGCAAGCAGGCAAGGGAGAAATCGCCCAGCAGGCAAATCACCTTCCGACGCTGACACAACGTAAAACGAGATGTACATAGAAACCATTTGACTCTGGCGCCGTGGGAAGTTGTGAGTAAAGCATTTGACGCAGCGGCTGAGGCAGCCTGACGTAACCTCACGATTGTCACCGCAACCTCCAAAGCAGATCAATTTGACGGGTAAACGTGAGTCAAAGCCTGACAACGTAAATATAAGGAAGTATATCTTGCCATTTTTTTTTAGCGAAGGAGCACATCTGCCATCTTCTGGCAAGACGCCTCAGAATATACTCGAACTGCACCAAGACTATACAACATACTCACCCCCGCAATCATCATGGGTCGCTATGAGCTCGAGTATCCCAAGGACGCAACAAATCTTGTCAACAGAAAGGGCGACCGAGGTAACGATGACACTCAAACTCAACAACTCTACGTAATCACTCATATTCAGCCTACTAACTAAGCATTCTAGGTATCTATGCTCTCGAAAAGATCCACTCTCTCATCAACTCCAGCCAACTCATCCATGTCTCATTCAACGTCCCCAATTCTCCTTTCCCAGTCACCCTCCCCATGATCGGCCAGATGGGCTCTTTTGACCGGCCGTCCGCCGATCTAGGTGATCCTCTGGATCTCTACATCCATGGCTACGTCTCCTCGCGCCTCTTCAACCTTGGCCGCGGTGCTGGCGAAGACGGCATGCCCGTCTCTTGTGCAGTCTCCCACGTCGACGGTCTCATCCTCGCTCTCTCCGCTTTCAACCACAGCTATAACTACCGCTCTGCTCTACTCTTCGGCCACGCCAGTCTTGTCGAGGACCAGGAGGAGAAGCTGTACGCTATGGAGCTCATCACCAATTCTGTCGTGCCGGATCGCTGGAAGAACAGCCGTTTGCCGCCGACGAATGCCGAAATGCAGAGTACGAGCATCCTCAAAGTGAAGATTGCTTCGGGGAGTGCCAAGTACCGCGATGGTGGCGTCTCGGACGACAAGCATGATTTGGAGAACGAGGATGCGTTGAATACAGTGTGGACGGGTGTGGTGCCGATTTATTCGACCATGGGCGAACCGATTCCTGGCCCGTACAACCGGGTGGACTTGCCACCGTATGCAAGGGAATTCTTTGATGAATTTAGCGCGGAAAATAAGAAGCAGAGCTTGGACGCGGCAAATACAAAGACCGGGTAGATGCTTGTATTGAGACTACATAATACCTGAATTTGCCTTTTCGACTGCCCCAGTTGACTTGTACATAGAACTGAAGCATCAAGTAAACTTGACGTTGCGAAGTAAACCGTCACTGGGCCGCAAAGGGGGGATTTTAGTGACTAATGCTATTTGTTGGTCTATACTAGTAGTTATACTGGTACTGATACAATTTTACCAAGATGTCTGCGGCATAATCACTCCATGCAGATTCCATACGTGACAACTCGACACTCCCAATTCCATGTACTTGATAGCCAAGTTTCCATCGAAGCGTATCAGCCTACAAATGTTGCGAGAACTCGCAAACAACATCCTTCCCAGCACTGCACTTCGTGCTCTTCCTCCCGGCCTTTTCAATATCATAAACCCTCGCCGCTGACGCGCCTTTGCTCCCCTCACCGCCATGCCACTCGACCGCCTCAAACCTGACGACCCCAAAGTCAATAAGACCCTTTGTTGGCAAAAGCTCCACGATCCAATTAGCATCCCTCAAGCAAAGCCTCTTCTGGTTCTTCATCTCGCCACGCGCCTCCTCCCCCGTCGTCAAGTTCTCCAGGGTAGCAACTCCCGACGTGGCGCTCGTGGCATTGACACTCATGCGGATCCTGTCGCCCGGCTGCGCGGACAGCGGCTGCGCGTACAGCCTCGCGTCGGCCGGATACCATTCGTACCAAGGGTACACCGAGTCGTTGAGGTAGTCGACGCCCGTCTGGAGAATGGCATCGCGGCACGTTGCGCCGTCGATGCCCACCCAGAAGGAGGCGCCGAGCCCGGGGTCTCGCTTGTACTCGGGCAGCGTGACGGTCCCGGTGACGAAGGACACGGAGGAGGGCGTGGTGTGGACGGCACCGGCCCAGTTGCTGGATGACTTTTGGCGCGTGGCGAGGTGAGACTGGGCAGCTGGGACGGTCGACGACGCCGCCGCCGCGAGGTATACGAGTCGAAACTTCATCTTGACCTTTGGACCGTTGCTTGATTTCTTGGCGTTTTTGGTACGGAGTAGAGAGTCTGTATTCTGGCACTGGACTCGCTTTACATGTGTATTGCCCCTGAACATCATCTCACACCCTCCCCCATCCCCATGCGTTATTAACCTGGAGCACGGAGTCCTCCGGACAGAGTAGAGATTACAGAATCTATCGGGTATGTACTTTCGTATCATCAACTAGTCAGCGCCTTTGTGCCACCAGATGCAGTTCCGTGTCTCATAAATAGTGGAACTTGCAGGCTTTTGTCGTGATCGTACCCGTAGCCCGATTCGATAATGAATAAGCGAGATTTAACATGAAAGTGACCTGTCGACGGCACATTATTTTCATTACCGGTTTTTCTTCTTCGCGCACCCTAGGATACGTCGATTGCTTTGAGCGGTGACGAGAAGAGCAAAAAGAATCGGCTAACGCGCTTTGTGTTTGTTTTATTGTCAAGGTTGAAGGAACGGCTTTAGGGTATTGCAGATTGCTACCATAACACATAGCAGTGATAGTAATGGCTTTGTGCCACGTAAGAATAGTTTGTTGACGACACGATGCAATGCTTACATTGACCGACTTTAAATTCACCGTCCGGGCGTCGGGCCGACGGTTGGGTAAGTATGGATAGAGGTACGGAGTACTCCGTACACACAGCAGGAATACAAGACTGGGCTACTCCGTACTCCGTACTCCCTACGGACTCCGTATATTGCTGTTTGAAGCTCACCGCAAGAGGTTACTCTCACAGGCCGAGGAGCGAAGGTATTATGAAACAAGTTACACAGAAAGACCGAGGAAGATATTAGAATCCCGGCGACGTAAGATCTGCAAGCCACACCCTTCGTCACAAAGGCACCATGCCTACTCAATACGCTATCCAACACATTGCTCCATATTTCTAATGTCCAATTTCTACCCCTTTTTGTTCGCAGTACGGGGTACGGATTACTACTCCGTGGTGGTCAAATTAAGAACTTCAGCTGTTTCAATAATGTGGCATCCAATCTCACCCATGAGCCTCTTTCACCACTTCTCCCATACCAGCGCCGGAATAGAAGTCCTCATTAGCGACCAGTGTCCCAAAGCACTCGTCTCATGCCACTTGGCCAACTTTGCCGTCTCATTCTTTCTCAAGATGCCCTCATCGCCTCCTATCAGCATAGCTGTTTCAGGAATCTCGTTGGGCAAACCCAAAAACTCCCGTCTAGCTGGGCTCTGCAAGAAGTCCTTGGTTGTGGGACGTCGGAAGGTAAGTGGGCTACTGTCTGACTTCTTGCAAAAAATGACCATGTTGGTGAAATCCATGCCCTTGGTTTTGAGGGACTCTGCATCTGGTGGCATTTCGCGGAAGATGCGACAAGTTGGGAAGACTTGCTTGATAGTGCGGTAGATGACTTTGGGTGGTGGGAGGGTCAAATCACCCGCGTAGTTCTGTGGCAACCTTGTGAGCAAGTTTGGCGTGTTTAGCAGCGAAAAGGGTCGATGAGGTGGACTTACGATGGCAACAGTGCCCTCGGGCTTTAACAGCGTGTGTAGGCCCTGGAAGAATTCAAGGGTGAAGAGATCAATGGGCTCGGCCCCGCCGGTAAAGACATCGTGAACGATGTAGTCGTAGGTCGAGGGTGCTGTTGTGGCAAGCTCAGCGGTGTAGCTGACAGCATCCTGCAATACGGGTGGATTGTTTTCTTTCAAATCAAAGTACTTGGATGCAAATTCGTAAACAACTGGATCCATCTCTACGACGGTAGTGTTGATTCCATGGGAAACAAGCGCAGAAGGCGTCGTGCCAACACCAAGTCCGCTGCAAGGACAAGTTAGCCACCAAGTTACTCCGTACTCTGCGGCGAAAGCTGATACTCACATCACCAATGCTTTGGCATCCTTGTCATCCACGGGCGCTGCCGACTCGACCAATCTAACAGCTTCTAGCATGGCGAAGACGCCATAAACCGGCTCTGATACCGGCCCCCCCCTATGGCTGATCCACTCCCCTCCCAGTAGACTATGATCACAACGCATAACCCGAAAGCCCTCCTCTATGCTCTGTACGACTGAGATATAACCAGTCACCGACTCACGCCTCTCAATGAACAACCAGTTATCAGTCATCAGAGAGCTCATTAGACTCTGAGTGGCGGCCCGAGACTGCAGATGGGTGTTCAGGAAAATGGTGTGGAGGAATGGGAATGCCGCGTAAATGAGGTACTTTGAAGGCGAGAGGACCATGTAAGCAACCGAGAGGACAATCTCAAAGCCCAGTCTAGTACATACGAGGAGTCTACCCATGATCCGGGGCAGATACACGCCAACCTGGCCTTCAAAGAACTTGAACAGGGCCCAAGACCCAATGCCAGGCCCGGCATCAGCCACAAAATTTGGCAACATGCCCAATCGTGCCCCCTCCCAGTAATCGGCCACCGAAGCAGATGTGAATAGTGCCAACGGTAGTAGCGTGAGGCTCTCTGTGACCACGGGACCCCATTGCGCGCCGAATGTCTGGCTGTAGGCAGCTAGAAAATGCTGCAAACCGGGAATGCCGACGGCAACCATGGGAAGGGCTTTGGCCGGGGTAATTGGCAATGAATCTCGCAGGAACGTGTTGCCAGCCCACCCCAGGAAGCACCCTCCCATCACGAGCTTTGTGTGCCATATTGATGAGGGAATGGATCCATACACCGGTGAGAGGTTGAGCTGAGAGACATGGGAGTAGAGCGCAAGGAAGGCTAGAAGTAGGATGATGCGAATGTAAATGTTTAATTGGCCCAAAAATCGATTGCTAAACGTGTCGCTCCGGGCCTTGTCAGCCAAGTCTTGAAGCTCCTTTTCAAACCTCTCAGGCGTGAAGCCCGTCGCCTTGTCTTCAGAGTTGGCACCAGGGGCCGACGCCTGCCTTGCTGTCGCCTTTCTCGCCATGATCAAACGGTTCAAAAAAGGTGTCGTGTCCGCTCAGCAGACATGAGGTATCCTGAGCTGATGGAAGATACGAGTCGAGAAAAGTCAAGAACGATGAGGTAAACCCAGAATTGCCCCAAGAGCTCTCATTCATTGAAGACAAGTTGACCGTGCTCGTGCGTTTCACCCTGAACTCCGTATGTGTGAGAGCATCGATACGTTGTCAAGTACCAGAAGTATGGATTTTGCACCTAGGGGTTACCGATTGCCGTGCCCCGGTACTCCGGTGTGGCTTGCTGCCTTCCTTCCCGTCGAGTGGGGCTTTAGCCTTGCTCCCATGGTACGGGAAAATCCAATGCGAACATGCAAGATGCGGATGTCCTGGGCTGTTGAAAAGAGGTCTGGAAGAAACGGGCCTGAAATCCAATGGGAATCGAACAACTACTTGGAAGAAAGAGTGAAAGACTGAGGCGGGAGCTTCAAGAGGTTCCTTTAATTCCAAAAAAACGGGCCGTAAGGAGAAAAGACTTGAGCATTCACAAGGGGCTAGTCCACTTCTAGGTAGTTGCCAACGGGAACAACATCAATTGAAGTGACACTTGACATGCAAAAGTACTCCGTACTAGGTACCTACTTACCTACCTAAGGTACTTAGGGCACGCGCCTATACAACTACACTATCGCATAGCCTAGATTCATAACAGTGCGCCATAATTTTTTCAGATATAAAGGCCTCTACTAACATTGAATTCTGCTCTAATAACCTGTGCTCGGACCGTTCAGAAGAGCCTTAAACCGTACCTGCCCTCGGATATTGTACGTGCACCTTCCTGTAACAGCTTCGTCGTGCTCCGTGCTGGATTACTCACCAATAAGAGCTAGCCTTGATGGTGACATGCGCACACTTGCGTCCACACGGCTAAACAGTATTTTCCCCGAGTTGTTGCGCAATACTATCCATCTATTTGCTCATGGTCAATCTAACAAATTCATAAAACATCATATTTAGTCTCCCCCCTCCATCTCCTCCTCATCATAGTCGAATGCAGCTACACAAGAGAATATTTAACGACCCCGACTCCCAGCTGTTCGACGCCCACCATGAGCCCGGTACTTTCGTACACATTCATGATAGCATCCAAGTCATGAAATGCACAGAAATCCAACGACGAAAATGATCGCTCCTCTATCCAGACCAAACGAGAATTCAATAAGCCTCCGATCCCCGGTAGTGTCATCCTGCTGTTGCCGGCCTGCCCTATTACCTAGGCTTGACGCGACCACCACCCAGACTCCCAATCTTCATATCGGGGTCGCATAGCTGTCTTCCATCTCGTCGTCGCTGCTTGAATCATCACTTCGGGGACTTTGTGCGCTGCTCACATCAGCGCTGTGAATGTTGCTGAACTGGCCCATCAGGCTGCCGCCGCCAGAGAACGACCCCGGAAATGAGGGCGGGCCAGATGGCGCTGACATGTCGGCTAAGCTTCCACTCCGACTCATGGATGGCTTTTCCGGTAGCTTCTTCAACAACCCGGTCGAGATGTCTAGCATGGATATCGCGAATTGCGTCAGGGCTTTGCTCTCGCCGGGTTTGGAACTCACTGAGAGAGTCCATCGATACTCCCCTAAGCGACGACGGTACCAATCGGCTTCTTCGCGACCTGGAGACGTTGCCCACAACAGGGAGCCAAATGTTCCGATCAGTGCAAAGTTAGTCTTGGATGCGAAAAACCAGAACGAACGCAAGTGGTTCGGGGTCAGCCGATTGACAAAGTCCATGGCCGAGATGAGACGGGCTTTTGCTGCGCTTCGACAAATATGCTGGACATAAGGATCCACGGTGGTTGGATTTGATGCCAGTGAACGGATGATTCTACGGTGTAGTGTGATTTCCGTAGCAAAATACCCCAGGTGGAGATATCCAATACTCGATAGTCTGTTCGTCGAGGGTGGCGAAACGGGGGAATAACTCGTCATAGAGTAGGATTCGAGACGAATGTTTGCCGGCAGACCGCTATACCATTCCTTAAGTTTCAGCTGAACCGGTTTGGCAAGGGACAAAACAAGCTGAGTGCCTTGAGGGCCGGCATCGGCGATATTCTGTGTCGAGTTCAAAGTGTAGAATGTCTCGAGGATCTCTGCCAGGATCTCAGACAGCTGCACAAAACGAGTAAACAAGAGCCGGCCCTTCTCAATGTCTTGTTTCTCATCTGAGTCGTCCTCATCCCATTCAACATCTGGAAAGTCGTTGGCAGTCAAGGCTCGCACGCCCCAGTTGGATGAGAATATATGGGACGGTCGTCCATGTACCAAGGCGCCCCATTTGTCCTGCATGTATAGTGCCCATGCCAGCCTGCGTCTCAATCCCTTCTCCCAAGGAGGTATCTTCCAGATTGAACAATCCAAATGCAACCCGAGCTCTTGACCTATAGCTACAAGTTGAGCTGTTGGCGCCCACTGGTCCCCTTCTGGACGTTGGGATAGGAGCAAGCCGGCTTGAATAGTAGATAATTTTGGCCTGTTCATGGCATCTGCTAATGTGCTGCAGATGAGTCTCTCCAGTTCTCGCACATCAGGACGAGGTAGGTTCGAGAGCTTTTCGCTGTGATCCCACCAATTAATGGCTAAAATATATACTGCAGCCAGGATAGGCGGCGAAAACTCTCGGTGGGATCGCTCGTACTTCTCCAAGAAGACGTGTTTTTGAATGATTGGAAACGCTGGATGAACGATGCGGAAGTACAAGTCAATCAAATGACGCCCATTTGGCGATACCACGGCCTCGATGGCATCTAAATCTTCCATCACATGATCATATCCCGGTGTACTGTCGTCTGGCAGCATCAGAAAGGTGTCGTTGTCGCTTACTTTTCTCAAGGTACCTCTGGACAACAGACTTTCGTCCTGCGGATCGAAAGCGGAGAGGTTGATGAGCGATGGTTCAAAATCAGTGGTGAGCCCAATGTATTGACTGAATCGATCATTTTGCATGCCAAGAGTCCTCTTGAGAATTGTTGGCCCACCCACATTTGCCATGTCTTCCAGAAATGAGCTACTGGCAGCCGTGCTAGATAAGCTAGAATTGCCGAGTTTGCGAGTAGAAATGTTTGGTGAGCTAGGACCATGACACATGTTAGAAATTATCTTTTCGAATGTACGTGTGTGATGAAAGCGGCAGCCTCCGACGATACTCTGTATTGAGTGTGAAACAGCAAAGGAAAGAGGGAATACGAGGTAGTTCCATAACAATAGCAGTAGAACTAACCTTCGTTTGCCAAAGCTGGCTTCACGAGCTAGCACCCCATTCATTTTCCTCTTGCGAGACTGAGGGCTCGCTAATGAACTTGATAGAAAAGAGCACTCGGAGCCATTGGCTTGACAGGCGGCGCAGCCGTCCTCGGAATCACTCAAAACGCACTTGGTTCCAGAAAACCGACAAGTTTGGCACGGAGCAAAGGTCGACCCGGCCAGTGAAGAAGATTCGATCGAGACTCCGGTTTGAACACTACTGGGACCAATCTCAAATTTGCACAAACTGTCTTGTCGTTGAGGTGCTGGGTCTCGCCTTGGAGGCTTTGGAGCGATGGCTATGGGAGCCGTTCGCTGAACCGAGTTGTGAGCCATGCCGGTAGAGGAGGGTAACTTCAGAGATGTTGGTAGTACTTTAATATATTTAATGATATATATTTTAAATATGAATGCCCCTTTTGCGGTGAGGAGAATCCAAGAGTAGGAGGGTCGTCGGGGAGGGGTGCCGATATGCCGTATCAGCACCGAGGGTACGAGAATTTTTGCTGTAGTGTGCACAAAGACGATGCTCGAGTAACGCAAGACGAGGACCGAAAAAGAAAGATACTTTGGGTCGAATTACTCGATACCTGAGCCAAAAACCGATGGTAACAACAACCCCTGACACGATTTTAAGGCACAGCAACAGCCAGATTTGGCACCAAACAATGGGCCAAGTCAATATCGCTCGCAGCTGCACCCTTTTCCAAGTCGAAGCCGATTAGTTTGATCAAGGGTTATGCCTCTCGAAGAGTTCAGTGTCAGGGAGTCAAGTTACCACGGAGGCCAGGATGAGATAACCGTGGGTTATCGGAGTCATTGAGACCGATAGCTACGGGTACTCTCTTTTCTTCTCGGAGCAGATTCCGTGACGCACGTTCCGTTTGACTAGCAAAAGAGTTCAAAGCACTCAAGGCCGCGAGAGAGACATTGAGCTTCTCTTCTAGGTGCAGATGGCTTCGGAGTTAAGACGATCAGGTAGAGAAGGGGGGGGAGTAGGATCCCAAGAGAAATGAGTAAAGGGTGCCTTGTGCCTTGTGCTGTGTCTCCGATGGGCCAGGATGCAATGAATAGGGCGGCACGAATGTATGTGAGAACGGAGAGTAGGGGAGTGAGAAAGTGAAAAAGAGGAGTAGAGGCAACAAGAGAGGATTTTTTTTTCCCTTGAACAATCCTGATGTCTGGCTCTTCAATGGCACGTTCTCGCGCGCACGCCCTGTGTGCCAATGGAGAGGTAGAAAAATCGAAAGAGGCAACAACGTAAACCCACGCTTAGTCGCGCCTACCCAGTACAAAGTTAGGAAGAAAAAAGTGTGACATGTGCATCTTCCCCGGACTGGGGGTGACCCTTTGTGCTGGAACTGCTCGAGTTAGAAACACCACACACACAACCCGGCCAGCGATGACGGATGAAATGGGACCGTCGGTGGAGACACAAATTTATCCCAGCTAAGTGATCGAATGAGTGGCATGGCATTGACAAAGCACTAATCCTATCGTTCGTTTTGTTGTACCGTACCTAGGTCGTTTCCCGGGTTCAGAGCACTACCACTAACTAGTCCGTACAGTCCGTAACACTGGCAGAGATCGTGGCTGGAATAACCGGCCGAACCGGGGCATGGCGATCCCGTTATATCAACTGGCCATCTTCCAGTGTCGCAGAAAAGGCGTCAGAGATGGATAAACTACGCTATGGCCAACTAGACCAGGCTAGCTTGATATTCTGTTTCTCCTTAGTGGTGGCTGGCCCTATCAACCAACCATCACACACCTCTTGCGCAAGCTTGCTTTTCTTATCGCGGATTACGATTGGCGACAGCCGCCAAATGGTGGCTCTCAGCCTTTGCAACCACATTTGTGATGGGGCTACTATCTTAAAGTCTTGTCTTGCTACGAACCGCGGTTATGGATCTGTCGTTAGGGATATACGGGGGATCAGCAGTGATTACTCCGGGGGGACAAAGTGCTGTCACAACCTGGTTTGCTCAGGTTGCCACCGAATTCCTCCTACCAGATGTCACAGGAAGCACGTGTATTGTATATGCGGTTTGCGGAGCCCTTGCCCGCGGCCTTCTGCGGCCCTGAAATTAGCAGGTGTCAATCAACATGTCGTCGGGCCAGGAGCTGGACCTGCCAGCCTATTGATGGCCTGATAGGCCATAGGGTTCTCCGTATGGCACCCTGTCCCTAATACCAACGACGAAACCCTTCCCACGAAGACACGCGACATTTCACTCCATTACATAACCCCTGGCTCCAACATCCAATGTTGTGATATGTCGGAAACCTGCGCCCTTTGTACGCGGACCTCATTCGTCACACGCGCGGGCAGCTCACAAAAACCCCTCATGGCAAGCTGTAGCCAGCAGCAATTTTCAAACATCAAGCAACATTTTCTCTCCCAGATACGTCAGGGAAAGACAACAGACACTGGGATCTTCCTGCAAGCACGTCGCCGTCATTACCGCTGTCCGTCGTGCGGCTGTCTGACGTGCAACAATTGGCCTGCAATTGCGATTCGAGTGCATTGTGCCCACCGCCATTACCGTATCATCATGTTTGCCAGGTTTCAGGGTCTGCGAGATGGAGGGCAGGGATCTCAAAGGTCGAGGCCCCAGAATTGCTTAATCTGAGAACCAGGATGCCGTTTCTCACATCTCACTGGACCATTCGTTATCAGCAGAAAGAAATACATAATGGTAAAGGAGTCCTTGGCCCGCTGATATGCAGGCCACAGGAGCTTTTTCCATACCTTTCGCTTCAAGGCCCTGGTCTTGATCGTTGCGAAGCCGCCCTCCCCCACCCTGATACTCTCCACCGTCTCATCATGGTGGCTTCCGGCCCTCCATTTCCAATGAGGCGCTCCGTTAGACCAGGCAGAAGAGCATTAATAAGAGTTGCCGACGTGGTATGTTGAGCCACTCCGCCGACGCTGTCAGCGACAAGTGGTGCGTAAGGTGTCGCCTAGGCTACTTCCTATTACCAAATCGAAAACCATTTGGACGCTCGCAGCGTGGAGCCCCAGTACATCTAACGTAATGGCTCTCTCGGCGCGGGCCACAATCGAGTCATTTCGTTCGGTCCTTCTGCCCCCTGTTAACATGTCTTCGAATGAGGCTGTTGTAACGGGAGATCGGGTTGCGAGTTGCGGGTTGCTTCTCATCCAAAGATCTACGGAGTACGGAGTAGGAGAATTATACTTGGCTTGGTCGACAGAGGAACTGAAGGAATATCTGTCGCTACTAAGAGCCGACTTGTGGAAATGGCACATTATGTTCGGGCTGGCGTCCCGGGCCCTTGCCGTTGACACATGCCTCATGCCCAGATCGCCAGTCACGTCGTAGCTTGGTCCGGAAAGGGTACAGGGGAAATCCCCAGACGGAAAGCTTCATGCCCTGTTTTGTCATCTACCCTAGGTGAGATGTACCACGAGTTTACTATTAGGTACGAGGCAAGATCTACTGAGGTCTTTTTGTCAAAAGCCGGCACGTCCTTGGCGTGAAAATGTCACCACGGCTTGTTACCAGCCTGCCGAGATGGAGCATCTCACGCCAGGGCCCCCTCCCCTCCTCCTCATTGACAACAGAAACAGAAACAAAATTTGCAACAAGTGCTGTTAGTTCTGAGAGAAAGAATTGGGTTAGTTAATGTGCGTTCTGCCATGCGAGCTTCTAAACGACATTTCGCCTGGTCGTACAGCAGGAGAGTGGCCTCGGGAGATGCCACCCCTTGTCCGTTAATCTCGGCTCGTTCAACTTACACGACGTCATCCGGAGGGCGGAAGACGGAGGCCAGCAGCCTGAATTCAAGACTGGTCGGCGCTGCTGTCCACGATGTGTTCCCCACAACGCGCCGAGACTGACGGCGCCGCAGGGGTCCTTTCCTACCTCCGTTGGTGAGGGGTATCGTGGCCCTTCGCAGGCCCGGGCTTGGAGAAAACGCGGTGTTTCCGTGTTTCGGAGAGCGGTGTGCCTTGTCACTACAACCACATCAGATGGCTACATGTTCGTTCATCAACAAGCACCGCTGCTGTGCTGCGTCAGGGTGCATGCATATGTAGGTAGGGAAATGAGTTCGCCATGTACTCCGGTATATGCGCTTCTCTGGATTAGGCAACAAGCCAGATGTTTGAGCTTTGCGCTTCTTTTCAATATTTGGTCGGGGCTTTGCATCATTGCCCTGTGAGTCGAACGAGTTGGTCGACTTTGGCTCCTCCCGAGCTGGTAGAGCTACATGCATACACGATGCACCAATTTCACACACGACTTCTGGGAATGACGGCATCGCATTTGCAGTCCCAACAGGAATATGTACACCAGCCCTTCGGATTGATTCGTCTGTTTCTCGAGTTAAACCCTCCAATATTACACGTGATTCACAACTCAAGTGAACACCACAGGCTGCGGTAGCTGAGGACAGAAAATACTGCTGCCACAATACTACTGTACTGGGTTGCATCCGAAATGCATTACAGCGATCTGGCCCCCACAGAAAACACGGGAGAGGCATATTGTTCGGAGTAGGGTGGACTGGAATAAGAAGGCTGTTGACGGGGGAAAGAAAAAAAAGTCTTGGCTTGGTGTCAATATATTCGGTTTTTGAAAGACAGTTCAGGAAGGCCCTTAACGAGCAACACATGTATGTATGGCACGGCATACAGTGAATATCGGCAAGCTTGCCTCAGCCGACGACAACCGAGTTTGTACCGTTCCATGCCTTTCCATCCAGCCGGCTCCGCCGTCCAGATTATTATTGCGCCTGACGTTGCTATGCCTCCGCGTCTAGTGAAGCCGGCGTCCAGACCATTGTATGCTCCAGATACCGCTCTGTCCGCCTCTTCGACC